TTAACACATCTTAACTTTGATTCTGGAGATTTATGTCATTGTTTTGGTTTCTCAGTTTAAATTTAAAACTGTCATATGTGACTTTATTTTGTTGTTAAATACTTTGTTATTGTCAGTTAATCAACAATAAACAAGCTACTTCCTGCTCATCACCTGAAGACAAAAATCCAAAATTCATCCTTCTTTTAATAATTGTATTATTGTACTAGCGACATAGTAGTGAGGACGCAAACTAAAGTTAGTTAGTAAGCTTCTACTCTGAGGGGCTTCTGGTTCATTTGCACTGGCAGGTAACAAAGATTGGCCAGAAGAGCATCTGTTTAATGTAGTACAATCAGATCCTAGCTGGGGGAAGTCAGGAACAACATCAGCAATCTCACTACATAAGCTGAAATTAGAAACATAAAAAACAAAATCAGAAACTATTTCTGTTGTCACAGCCAGCTCAAAAAGTAAAAAAAACCCCAAAAAGCTCAATTAATCTCAGTGACTGCAACATATAAAGAGGATGCCACACCAGAGTTTGAATTTGTCAGCAATACTTATTTTATTTAAACAGAATGAAGGTCTGGAGGCCTGGAAGACGGTAAGATAAACATGGAAGGAGTCCAGGCCAGCCACACAGGAGGCTATGGGACCCAGAACCTCTCTCCCTAAACTAATAGAATAATAAAACCCATTCATGCATCTTCTGCCACTTATCCGTGTCCAGATCGCCATTGCAGCAGCCCGGGGAACACAGAGGCATACCCTCGGTCTCTCGGCCATCCAAGAAATGTAATCTCTACAGCATGTCTTGGGTTTGCCCTGGTGCATCCTCCCAGAAGGACAGGCCAGGAACAGGACATGCCCAGGAGGGATCCTAGTCAGATGGCTGAGCCACCTTGGCTGGCTCTTTGCAATGTGGAGGAGCAGCTCCTCTACTCTGAGCCCCTCCTAGATGACTGAAACCCTTGCCTGTCTCTAGGGAGAGGTCAGCCAACATTCGGAGAAAGCTCATTTATATTGCTTATATCCATGCTCTCATTCTTTTGAGTTAGTACCGAGAAGCTAGTGGACAAAGTTGCAGACCTGTCCCTCTGTCTGCCTCTGTCTGCATCTCACTCAACAAGAGCCCGATATACTGAAAAATCCCCCATTTGGGGCAGCAACTTGAGCTTAACCCTGACTGGGCACTCCACCTGGCATAGATCTGTGGTCTCAGACATAGAAGTGCTAGTTCTCATTCTTGCTGCATCACATGCAGCTGTGAACTGCTCCAAAGTGAACTGGAGGCGACCACCTGATGAACCACATCATATGCAAAAACCAAAGATGAGGACCTGAAGCCACAAAATTAGAAGCTTTTTGCCACTTGGGTGCACACCTAGAAATTCTGACTCTAAATTTTGTCAATGCCTCTTTTTTTTTTTAAAGAAAAGATACACAAAAAAATCGCCCTATGGAAAACCAAAAAATAACACTTTCATATCACACGAAGACTGCATATATGAACACAAAGACAAACCGAATGAACCCAAATAAAACAAAAGGCCATTTCAGTCTCGGTATCAGAGTGGTATCTTACGGCTAACAATTAGGTAGTCTCCTCTAATTTCATAATAATAACCATAATAATACATAACCTGTGATCTAATTTGCTAATATGCAGGTGTCCAGTGCTGTCACGTCCCTGCAGCTGGCCATGGCTGAGCTGGAGGTCGGAAACCTCGGCTTTGCTCTGCAGTACAGCAAAGAGGCCATCTTGGCTTCGGAGAAAGCATTCTTCGACCCTTCGCTCCTTCACCTGCTCTACTTTCCAGACGATCAGAAGTTTGCTATCTACATACCACTCTTCTTGCCCATGTGCGTGCCTATTCTGCTCTCAATGCTGAAAATAGTGTCGGAGGCCAGGCAGAGACGCAGAGAAAAGCAAGCCAAAAAGGAATAAGAGGCACTCAAGCAGGAGAAGAAGAACAAAGAAACTGTATGAACAAACCATTTCGTTAGTGGCCTGAAAAGGCTCATGTGAACCATTGTGGTTTGGGGTTTACAACTCCTATTGTTTTGTACAAGGATTTATGCCTGATGTACTGAGTGATTGCAGCGACTGTTTGACACTGCATGGCTGAAAGCTTCAGTTTATTTATTTTATTTCTCATGTTATTAAGAAATAAAAACTAAAGTTCCGTCTTTTGTTGTTGCACAATACCTAATGGGCTGGTACAATGGGCTGGGCGCCTGAGCAATCAGAGCACATTTACCAATTATACAGTTGTTCATACACTCGGTATTTATACCTAAACGCCTTCTAACATTAACACGTTCACTCACACTCTAATCAATTGGGTTTAGGATCTTCCTCGAGGATTTATAGATCAATCCACTGAGCTTCAGACTGGTAGATAACCCTACCATCTGAACAGCTGTGGCTTATGGAACGCCAGGACTGCCATAATGAATTAATTAAATACACCATTAAATAATTAATTAAATGTGGCAATAATTAATTAAAATTGGAATTAATTAATTAAATAAATAGTTATGACACATGTAATTAATTAATTATTGACACATTTAATTAATTATTTATGTATTTCACTTTTTAATTAATTATTGACACATTTAATTAATTATTTAATGATATATTTATTTATTTCATTTTGGCAGTCCTGGCACCTGGCTCTCATCATGAAATAATTTTATCTGTCAGCCTCACCCATCAAACTCAGGAGGCGGGGTTAACGCTGCCCATGCAGCTTCTCTAACATTTGATTGGTTGCCGTGCAAAGTAAGTCAAAACAGGTCGATCCTAGATAATCGATTGCTTGTGTAGACTTGGGGCAGCCAGGTATCCCAGAATGCAGATCAAATCACAGGCAGCAATGGTGGTGGTGTAGTTTTAAAATACCCCGTTTTTCTGTCACCAGCTACACTTTTAACAGTGTTTTAGCCGCGAATGTCGCGCCGTATGTCTGGTCAGGTTGTCAACATAGAACATGTTTGCAAAAGTGCTCAGATGTTTTCAGAGATTTCACTAGCTCTGCTAACAGTTAGCATGCAGAGTGCACCGAGGGGGTTACGTTAACCGGTTTGTTTACATATTCCACTCTCCGTGTTCCACATGTTGCATTCGCAGATTCTCATTTTCACCGAATGATCGTCTCTTTCCGCCTGGTCTTGTGTCTCTGTGCTTCTGTAACATAAAGAACGAGCTGACATTTTTCTCACGAAACCAGCGATCAGCTCAACAGACCCTCAGTTTACCTGCATGCATCCTCCTCCTCATCTGTCAGCTGTTTAACACCTGCTGCTAATTCAAGAAACACGCCTAGTTACCTGGTGATAGTCACAGTTTAACTGGGCAGCCGGTGCTCGATATAAAGCAATGTCAGCGCATTTTTCTGCACAAGATAAGTAAATATAGTGTTTTCCCCGAGCGCAGAGCTGCTGGAGCTTGTTTCCTTACAGAGCACTTTATAGGCGAACAGCTTCATCGGCGGCTGATGTCCAATCACCGGCACACAGCTTTGAAACCTCAGCTGAGTTTTAGCTCTCAGTGGTTAAACGCTGGACTTCATTCACTCAGGTTCTGTCTGTCGGATCACGTTTACTTCGCTGTTTTATTTACAACTGAGCAAATCGGTTTGGCTGAGGTTAAAGTTACGTTTCATAACTGCATAGTTTCACAGACGTTTAATGGTTCACTGGCACATGTGTTAGACTGAACTATCATCTAAATATCATCTGTTTTTTAATAGTTATTCAACTGTATTCTAAGCACCAGCTGTCTGTTAGAATGTGATTTTTTTCTCTCTCTCTGTTGGCAGAGGTATAAAAATGCGCAGGAAAATCTGACGTGCATGGCAAACTTCAGCGACGATATTTAGGGAGGAATAAACACACATCAAACATAAATGAACCATTTGCCTGTCTCCATAATTGAGAGCATTTTCTCTTCTTACGTCAACACTCTCTCTCTCTCCTTTTTTTTTTTTTTTTTTTTTTTTTTTGCTTTTTCGGTCATGTTATGTTTACCTGGCAAAGGCTTGTTACAAACTATGAAACACATCGTGCAGACTTCTGGATGTTAGAAGAAAACTAATACTGCTCATGAATGAGACTAAAGGCAGGAAGGTGTCCTTTAAAACATGTTAATAGGACCTCCCTATTTATATCATAGTTTATGATATAGCACGTGTATTTCAGTAATAGCCTGCTGAGGCCACTATACGTGCTGGCCTCATATCAAATGTGAAGGCAGACTGAGTCTATGTTTGACGTTTTTTATATCTAATCTTCCTTTTCAAACATTTAAACAGCAGCGAGTCTGCAGCTGAGGGAATACAAACTCCGAAATCATCGAAACACTTTTGCAAAGAGGCTGTATCTTGACAAACCGACCAGACACATGAAGATTAAACCACTACATTCTCGGCTAAAAAAATATTAAAACGGTATTTGGTGACACACAAACAGGGTTTTTCAAAGCTCAGTTCTGTTAGCTTCCACATGCCGGTTGTTGTGTGCTAGAAACAATGGCCACCAGGCCAAAGCAATGGTTTTGACTCGATCAGCGTTAACCCCGCCCCCTGAGTTTGATGGGTGAGGCTGACAGATAAAATTATTTCATGATGAGAGCCAGGCGCCAGGACTGCCAAAATGAAATAAATAAATATATCATTAAATAATTAATTAAATGTGTCAATAATTAATTAAAATGTGAAATACACAAATAATTAATTAATTAAATGTGTCAATAATTAATTAAAATGTGAAATACATAAATAATTAATTAAATGTGTCAATAATTAATTAATTACATGTGTCATAACTATTTATTTAATTAATTAATTCCAATTTTAATTAATTATTGCCACATTTAATTAATTATTTAATGGTGTATTTAATTAATTCATTATGGCAGTTCTGGCGTTCCATAGTGGCTCAGGTTACGGGTTACGCTTTAAACTGTAACCCCACTCTCCGATAGGTGGCGGTATACGCCTTTTAAAGCTAGACGTTCCCTGTGAAGAAGAATCCGTTATCGGTAGCTTCTGCTTGCAACTTTTAGCCCTTGCTTATCTCGCTGTTTGAATTCCGCTTCGAAGTGTTTCAATTTTTATTAAGGTGTAGCTTAAACCGAATCTCTAACGCGTAGTTCGTACATGCCGCTTACTATCTAGGCGCCACTCTAGTCATTTTTTTACCAAAAGTTGATCTATTAGCCGGCTTGCTAACTTCCCTCGCGTTGCGCCATCATGTCTGGCGGTCTTATTCGAGGACCCGCGGGGAGTAACGACTGTCGGATATATGTGGGAAATCTCCCTCCCGACATACGTTCAAAAGACGTGGAAGACTTATTTTACAAGTACGGAAGTATTCGTGATATAGATCTGAAGAACCGAAGAGGAGGACCACCGTTTGCTTTCGTGCAGTTCGACGACCCGAGGTGAGCCGCATTGTCCCGCCGCCACGTCTGCCTGTTATCTCCACAGTTAGCCAGCTACACCCAAATAAGGGGACACAACGTGCGAGTTGACGGGATATAACCTGTAGCAAGAATTTGGTTTAGGAGAAGGTTTGAGTCGAGTAATTGGAGCTCTTTTTGGATTGTCGTGAAATGTGTGTTGTTGAGGCCTGCAGGAGGCCACGTTAATTGGCGGTTTACCCCGTTAAGTACCTGTGAATGTGCTTGCAAATGGGCTACTACCAAACCACTTTTTAGCTGATGGGTAATGATCAAGATACCAATTAAACGATTTAACAAACTATCTATCATCTATAAGTCCACTATAAGAGGCTAATTTCCTCCCCATTTTTAAATGGTCTATGACAAAGACTGAGATGCGAGTAAAACTGCATGTTTGTTTGCATTATTGGTATTAGATTATTCATTTCACTGTTCGATTTCACAGGGATGCTGAAGATGCTGTTTATGGGCGTGATGGATATGACTACGATGGCTACCGTCTGCGTGTGGAGTTCCCTAGAAGTGGAAGAGGAGGTGGTGGTGGTGGTGGTGCTGGAGGAGGGGGAGGAGGAGGAGGGGGAATGGGACCCCCAAGGGGAAGGTATGGTCCCCCATCCCGACGCTCGGAGAACAGGGTGGTTGTCTCAGGTGAGTGGTGTATTTTTCTATCTGAAGGTTGTGGTCTCTAGTTTAAAAGTGTGTAGTTGTATGTGTAAAGCTTACAAAACTTTTGTTGTTATTTACTTGTTAGGCCTTCCCCCCAGCGGGAGCTGGCAGGACCTGAAGGATCACATGCGGGAAGCAGGTGATGTATGTTATGCTGATGTGTTCCGTGATGGCACTGGTGTGGTGGAGTTTGTACGCAAAGAAGACATGACCTACGCCGTCCGTAAACTGGACAACACAAAGTTTCGCTCCCATGAGGTATGTAAATCCTCACATTGTCAGACTCTCTTAACTCATTCACTGCCATTGACGTCTATAGCCGTCAATTGCAGTGAATGAGTCAATGGGTTTAACTCATTCACTGCCAATGGCTGGCAGTGAATGAGTTAATAAGGACTAACTTGAAAAGCTTAGTCTTAAGAAGACGGAAAAAAGGTGACAACTGGACTTCTTTAGGCTTGCAAAGAGGTTTCACCTTTAATCAAACGGAAAACAAATAGTTACAGATATTTATGGTGTGTTCCTGAATAAGTCAGAATTTCTGTTTTCCAGTCAGAAATTTAATCTGGAACACCCCTTAAACTTGGATGTGCCACTTGTAAAGTCAGACCAGACCCAGGAACTAAATAATTCATAGGCAGCATACCTTGACAACAAAATGTAGCATTAACCCACCTTGGCTCATGTGCTGACTCACATGATCAGTAATGGGTCAATGATACTTGGAGCCGCTGCCAAAGGGAACAAATGCTGCTACACTTTAATTATCCGGGACTCTCCACCATTTGTTTTATATCATTTATTGATCTCACAAGGGAAATTGTTTTGTTACAGCGGCAGGATAAAGAATAAAAATTAGCCTGTTACAGAAAGACAGTTAGTTACAGTTTCACAGAAAATGTCAGGAATGTCGGCCTGAGGGAGAACTAACTCTTTTACCTCAGAATTGTGGAGTGGGTGAGATGGATTGTCCAAGATGGAGAGCAATTTGAGCGTCCTCCAAATTCTGGCCAATCATCGTTCCAACCTTGTGAATCAGTTGGCACTGATGCTTTTTCTTGCTCCTTATTGCTACCACAGATGGGTAGGAGACCTTCAGGATCACTTAGAACTGAAGGAGCCTGTTGGCTGCAAAGTGAAACGTCTTTGCAAACCTAAAGAAGTCTTGATGCCTTTTTTTTTTTTTTTCTTCCTCCTTTATCTCCAATCTCTTAAAGCTGTTAAGACTACCATTACCCAGATGACTGAGAGCCAACACAGACATTGAAAAGCTTACTTAAACATTGTAAGGAATGTGACAGTTAATTTGCAGTAAGTAAAGCAAAATGCTCAACTGTAAAGATTTCCTGGTGATAAGAATCAATAATTGGCTTATCTGTTTTATATTAACAGAAACGATCTTACTGAATGATGAATTGGCTGATTATGAATGCAATTTAAAATTCTGATGTGTGGATTGGGGTTGTTGTGCAGCAGTATGTCTGTTTATTTATGACTAATACATCAACCAGGAAAAAATGTGGTTAGCTATTTCTGTATGTGGGTTTCATATAACAGGAAAAGGAATGGTCGGTGATGTGTGCTCATGTTTGTGTTCAGGGTGAGACGGCTTATATCCGTGTGAAGATGGACGGCCCTCGGAGCCCCAGCTACGGTCGCTCTCGCTCTCGTAGCCGCAGTCGAAGCAGGAGCAAGAGTGGATCACGCAGCTACTCCCCACGCCGCAACAGAGGATCTCCCCGATATTCTCCCCGCCGCTCTCGCTCCCGCTCCCGGTCCCATTCCCGCTCTCGCTCCCGCTCTCGCACCTAGGCAAGCCTGACCTAAGAGCCAGAGTGGAAATCTTCACATTACTCAACGAATCCTGTGTATTCATCAAGGATCATCTCGTGTGTCACCTATGTATGCTGTCATGGTGTGTGCTTCCTTCCCTAACCGACACCAACCCACCTGCAGTTTTATTTTCCATTCTAATTTTTGCAGACCAGTTGAGCGTGCACATGACCGAGTTTTGCTCCATTATTTCTTCTCTTCTCTCAAAACGTGTTCTGCTTCTGCTGTGTCATCTCTAATTCATCTGTGTACCTCTCTTCTCCTGATTGTCCTGGTTGAGTGTTGAATGTTTTTTGCTTCATTTGCAAAGATTCTTTTTTTTTTTTTTTTTTTTTTTTTTTTTTTTTTTACTTCCTTCAGGCGAAATACTGCTGTCTTTTTGACCTTCTTGTGTTTCTCTGTTCAGAGTTCAGAGGAACAGGATAGGATGGGAACAGAGGAAACAGTTCATATTAGGATAAACAGGAGGAGGAGGAGTCAAATGTGGCACCAATGGTATGATGGCTGTGCCTTGTCAACTGTGAAATTATAAGGCTGTTCATTTTTTCTTTTTTCAAAAAGCATAAATCTGACAATAGGGCCCAGTTTGAATGTTTTCAGTAGTTAAGTTTTTTTTTTTTTTTTTTTTTTTTTTTTTGGGGGGGGGGTTTGGTGCTTTTTATCATCCTTTATCATACAAAGTAAATCTTTGTATTTTGGGCTTGATTATAGATGGTTTTCTCCTTTTTTCTCAAAGTAAACTCCCTGGTAGCTGCATTTATTTACATTACTTCAAGCATTTTCCTGAAGGTGTGATTCTAACTCGCCTCCTTCTCTTTGGTTCTGCTGGTATTCTGAAGGTTTGGACTGGGCTCATTGTCTCACCATTCCGGAGCTGGATCAGGATTCAGGATCAGTTTAGGATTAGGCTTCAGGATGGATACATGGAGCAGGATCATAGGAGCGTTTTTACCGGGAGAAGATCCCGACCCCCTGGCCCTGTCCACATAAACCCATCAAACCGGAACCATTGTAGTGCGATATTCAGAGAAAATTGGCTTTCGAATTTTCCAAAATTTCCCTTTTTGTGTGGGACCTCACAGACAGACTTACTGGCTACACAGTGCCGCACCGTTTATTTTTATTTTTTAAATAATTAAAAAGAAGAGAAAAGCATGGATCAAATCCAGGAGGAGGGCTGGGAGGTGCAGGATGGATCCACACGCGTAAGGAGTGGTAAATAGTGGAAAACCGTTACCAGTGGAGGAGGGAGGGAGGGGTGAAGAGGGAAGTCTGGGAGGAGACAAGGGATCGTAACTTTAATGTGGTTTGTATCTTTTTTTCTTTTCTTTTGTTTTTCTTTTTGGTCCAGTTTTTTTTTTTTTTTTCTAGCGGTGGCTGACTTCTGGTTTTCTTACACATGATCTCGATTATCTCAAAGCTTTATTCTCTTTTAATAAAACGTTCTACAACATTAGATGAACTGACTTTTTTCTTTCACTGCATTAAAAATGGTGTGTACAGAGTATTTGAACATATTCCTCTAGGTGGCTGCTGTTAATTTCATTGTCTTAAAAATCTCATAGCTTAGCAGGAGCACTGTTTGCCAAGGTGCTACCTCTTTCAGATCTTTCAGTCCCGCACTCTACACTTCTTTGTCTCTTATGATGAAGCCAGATTTGCCTCATTCTTCTTCCTCTTGCCTGGTCCACTTTGACGTCTCCACAATGGATCATCTGCCTCCATCTCACCCTGTCCTCTATGACATCAGTCCTCTGTATATCCTACACTACATCCATGAATCTTCTCTGAGGTCTTCTTTTACTCCTGCCTGGCAACTCCATCTTCATTTGTCTAGTATAATAATGGATTGCATTTATATAGCGCTTTTCTAGGCACCCAAAGCGCTTCACAATTCAGTCACTGAATGGCGAGGTTGCCATATCGTGCCCTCGGCCCCTCTGGCCAATACCAGTAGGTGGTAGGGTAAAGTGTCTTGCCCAAGGACACAACAACCAGGACAGAGCTGGGGATCGAACTGGCAACCTTCCGGTTACAGATAAGCTTCTCAACCCCCTGAACTACAATCGTCCCACTATGCATCCTCTGCACATGTCCAAACCATCTCTGCCTTGTCTCCCTAACTTTGTCTTCAAATTAAGCCGTCCCTCTGATCTACTACTTTCTAATTTTGTCCATTCTGGTAATTTTCAATGACATTCTTAACTTCAACTTTGCCACCTCCATCTTTGCCTTCTGTCTTCTTTGCTTGTGCTGTCTCTTGTTAGTGTTAGGAGGCAGTGAGAGAAGAAAAGATTAACATCTTCCCCCACTCTTCTGTCATCTTCAGGCACATTATTGTGCAACAGCTCTGGAGGCAGTTGTTGGTAATCTGGTCTTGGACAGATTTTATGCCAAATGGCTTTCCTGACAGAACTCTTCCCGTTTGTCCAGGTCTGAGAGTGGGGTTAACGATATTCATTATTATTCAATAACTTCCTCAGGTGTTGGTTTACTTAAGTAGTTGAGCCTCAGGGTCATTTATAGCAACTGGGTTCGTATTCAGCTTCAGTCTTTCCTGCTTTCTTGTCTCATCATCACATACCTATTTAAATAAAGGCATTTCTTTAAAAGAAAAAAAATGCAAGTATTTGATTGTGTCTGTGCCAGCACGTTTAAACTGTGATGGCTGAAAATCTAGTGGGTGCTGAAACACGACTTGTATAAATACTAGAACTATTTTGTCTCTCGCTCTCTTATCTAAGATCACGTTTTGTCTCGCACTTGTAGAAGCGGTCTGCCGCTTTATTACGTGTGCGTGTGACGTACGCTGTCCCTGGTCTCCATTCAGTAGTGTCATGATGGTCTTCCTCAGTATTGGCACTCATGTCACCAGTCCAGTCAAACTGTGAGCACATATTTTGTTTTTACAGATAAAAGCTGTGTCTTTATTTATCTATTTTCCCCCTAACTGCTTGTTCGGGCCGCAGACGTTTAACTGTCACCCTAGCTCGCTGCTAGCGCTAGCACGCTAGGACGTGTTTTATAAATACGGAATCATTCGCGATATTGACCTGAAAACCCGGAGAGGAGGTCCGCCGTTTGCCTTCGTAGAATTTGAGGACCCGAGGTGGGCTGCAGTGCCACATTTTAACTCATGTTTACACCGAAATATCAGGACAGACTTTAAAGGTGATTTTAAAGCCAAAGAGATTCATGTTAATGCCCACACTTTAGAATTGTACTTCAGAATAAGCATGTATATTGAAATGGTTGTCATTGTTAATTTGGGTGACAATTGTAGGTAATTGTGCTTAAAAATGTTTTGTTTTTTATTTGTATTTATTACTTTTGGGGCAATGTATGTGTATGGAGTCAACAAAATATCCACAAAAAACACTTTAAAACTATATATTGTATCATTATCTCTTCTAAGAAAACAGACAGTTTTAGGTATAAATGAGACAACGAAACCCCCTCCCAATAAATAAATAAATAAGCAATTAGTTTTAACAAGTATTTTAAGGATATAAAAGCTGAGGGGCAATGCTCTACACCAGGGGGACATTTGAACCCTCCCCCCCTGTAGATTTGCCCCTGGTGTTAATAAGATAATATTGGTTTTAAATTATAAGCTCAGTTTTTTTATGAAATCTTATTTCTACCACTAAGGAGGAAGAAACAAAGAGTTTTGACATATGCCATTCATAAGTCAAAACTCCAACTTAATACCTCAAAATGTCCTTATTCTTTTTCAGTTTCTGGTATTATTTCTCCAAAATATGAGTTAGAAAGTGGCAGAAATGAGTTTCCATAGATTTTAACCAACTAGTTTCACAGGTTCCGGATACAGACTGCTGGGTTTCAGATGTTTTTATTTTATTGGCTCTGTATTATGCCATAGTGACCAGATATTTGTAATATGGTCATCTCAGGTACACAGGTCTACTCCCACCTGTATTATCCAGAGATGTTTTCAAAGGTCTGCACAAAGACCCTATTATATAGATTATAATAAACAGATTAATTTGAACAGTAAACCTTGCAAAGCCTTTTAAAGTAGTATCCCTGGCACTTGCTTCACAAAGTTTGACCAAATTAAACTATTTATCTTCAAAATGATTTACAGGAGAGTTGTTCTTTGAACTTATCAGTAGAAAAATAAACATCTGTAACTAGAATTTAGCTAAAACAGTTAAATAATTTTTTAATTAAGTAAACACTATATTAAAAGTAAAATAAAGCAATTATGAAGTAAGATGAGCAAGATATCTTGAAACCTCATTGAAAACGTCCCTGTAAGTCCCCCTGATATTTCCCATTTGTATTTAATGAAATCCTTCATACCACTGGAAGTAGGCGGTCAGCTCTATTTCCAGCTTTTCTGTAAAAGTGTGTGTTTCAATTAAAAAATGATTGAACAGACAGAACATAGTTTGCTGTTTCAGCACCATGGAGAGTGACACTGGGACTGATGGGGTCTGAGTGTTTTAATAAAGAAATGACGTTTCTCTAAAAACACTTCCCATGTCTAATTAATGTGCACTGTGATTTATTTACACAGCTGTATTGGTCTCTCCATGTAAGAAGTGTCCTCAGAAAATTATGCCAATTTTAGATAATGTTGTAAAAGTAAATTAAGACCAATGTTGCAATTTTATTTTGGGTGAAGCAATATTTTTAATGCCTTCGGTTATTTATGGGTTTAATATAAAACACAGATGTGCTTTGCAAGTCTGAAAAGTGAAAGCAATTAAATCTGCATTCTATTTGATTGCCAACTAGGGGGCAATAACTGCAGTTTCAAAATACTTGGGTTCCTATGTAAATCTACGGGAAACTGGCTTTCTTACTTAACCTTTCTAAGCAATTTTTTGCTGAGTTTATGGGTTCAGTCACTCATTTGGGGTAATACCGAATTTAAAAAAATTGAGTCACGGTTTTAAATCTTTCTCATACTAAGTTTCACAAAGGTAATGCTCATTGGCTAACCACTTAAGCATGTGGTTTCACAAAGAGAAGCTTCTTTCCTCACATCCTATTTCAAAGCACCAGCTTGACTGCGCAAAAATCCCCACCTCCAAGCTTTTTAACCCAGACTTCAGAAGCCAGTAGGTGGCAACACATTTTATACTGTCTGTGGTTGCATACTGTTTTGTCCTTACCATTTTTTTATCATTGAGGGTAAACTGGACAACAAGACTACTCTAATTCGTCTGCACTACAAATGAGATAATGAAAACAGACCATCAAATTGCCTCTCTGAATCTTAAGAAAAAGTTGTATGCTTGTTGTTAGATTGGCTCAGTTTTACGTTAACACATTAAAGTGATATGTTGAGTCTTCAGTAGTCCAAAAGTCAAAAGTCGGTACCCTCTGTCATGTTCCGAGGAGTGCGTGAGTGTCAGTATCACTCTTCAGGGATGCAGAGGATGCTGTTTATGGACGTGATGGTTACGACTATGATGGCTACCGTCTGCGTGTTGAATTCCCTTGAAGTGGAGGTGGAAGGGGAGGTGGTGGCAGAGCTTTAGGAGCCCCAAGGGGACGGTATGGTCCCCTGTCACGGCGCTCCGAGTACAGGGTTATAGTCTCAGGTAGGCGCGTGCATCTTGTCACCTCGCATCTTATTACCTCCCCACCTTAATGTGTTACATTTCCTATAACATCCCTATTCTTCACGTCAGGCCTTCCCCCCAGCGGGAGTTGGCAGGACCTGAAGGATCACATGCGGGAGGCAGGTGATGTATGTTATGCTGACGTGTACCGTGATGGCACTGGCGTGGTGGAGTTTGTACGCAAGGAAGACATGACCGCCATCCGTAAATTGGATAACACCAAGTTTTGCTCCCATGAGGTAGGTTAGGGTCGCTGCAATGAATAGCTCTGGGAGTAAATTTTAGGATTTAAATTTTCCAAGGTAACTCCTGATACAAAATTTCGAGCAGGGAGAGTGAGGAAAATGGTGAAATTCTACATTAATGACACTAATCAGATGGTGTACAATGTTAAGACCATTTTTAATTTCTTTCGTGGAGATTCTTTGTAAGAGGGCAGCAATCTTTTCCAAATGTTTTTAACCACAATTAATGTAATCAAGCAGCTCTTTTGCCATTCCCGCTCTTCTGTTTGTATGTTCAGGGTGAGACGCCCTACATTCGCATAAAGATGGACGGCCCTCGCAGCCCCAGCTACGGTTGCTCACGTTCTCGTAGCCATAGTCGAAGCCGGAGCAACAGCGGGTCACGCAGCTACTCCCCACATCGCAGCAGAGGATCTCCTCACTACTCTCCCCGACGCTCCCGCTCTCGCTCTCGCACCTAGACGCCCCTCCTATGACATAAACCACCAGCTCATCCCACCAGCTCGTCTCAGAGTGGAGACGACAGACTTCACAGAACAGATCTCCATGGACCATTTGCTGTGTTAACTGTTTCCTGCATCTCTTGTGTGTTTCTTTTCCCCCAGATTTCTGTTGCGGGATTTATTTTGCTTTAGACCAGCTGAATTTTCCTGGTTTATGTATGTCCCCTTTACTTATATCCTTTTCTCACCCTTTTCACGCACAATGATCTAAACCTTTTTCCTGCAAACTTGTCCCTTCCTATGTGTGTACTCCTCCTCTTCCAGTTCCAACCTGTGTGTGGATTGTATGCTTTGTGTTTTGGTTTTTATACTGGGGTTGTTATGGATGTATATATATTAATATACATATATTTGTTACCAGCATTGCTTATAAAATTGTATTTTGACCCTTTCCCGTGTTTCTCTGTTCAGAGTTCAGAGGAGCAGGATAGGATGGGAACAGAGGAGACTGTTCATATTAGGATAAGCAGGAGGAGGAGGAGTCAGATATGGCACCAATGGCTGTGGTCTCTATATCTGAAATCTGCATAAGATAAGGCTTTAGTCCATTTTAGCCATAAATATATGCTTGAACATAGCTGATTACTGTAATGAGATGTTTGTGGTTGTAGTAAAGGTTTTGTTTGTTGCATGCTCACATTCTAAAGTTCATACCGGCAAGGTTAGACAAGCCCCTAAAGTCCAGTGATTCTTCTCAGTAGTCCCTGCAGATTTTTCTAAAACATTATAAAGTCCTGTGATGGTTCTGTCCCTGGTAGCTGTATTTGTTGACATTTCTTTAAGCATTTTCCTGAAGGTGTGATTCTAACTTGCCTCCTTCTCTTTGGTTCTGCTGGTATTCTGAAGGTCTGGACTGGGCTCATTGTCTCCCCATTCCGGAGCCGGATTAGGATTAGGCTTCAGGATGGATACATGGAGCAGGAGCATTGGAGCAATTTACCGGGAGAGGATCCCCACCCCTGACCCTGTCCACATAACCCCATCAAAGTGGAAACATTTTGTAGAAATATTCAAACTTTAAATTGGCCTTCAAACAGCAGAAAGAAAATTTCTTTCCACACGGGAAGGCTTCCTGATGAGAATTATTTTTCTTTTTTAAATTAACATGATCAAAGCTTGGTGTAATCCAGGAGGAGGGCTGGGAGGTGCAGGATGGATCCACGCACATAAGGAGAGTGGTAAAGCTAAACATGAACACACTTACGGAGGGTGGGGAGACTGGGAGGTTACAGGAGAATGTGACTTTATGTATGTCACATTTCTCTTAGGTCAGCGCTTTTCTGCAGAAGATGCATATTCATTAGGATAAATATAATCTCCAGTACATTGAAAAGCTTCAATAAAAAATCAGTTTACAGTTTCCTGTTTTCCTGTTTTTCTTTTTTGTACAATTTCTGCAGATTTATCAGATTACACAGTACGTCTACAAGTTTCTGACATATTTCTGGCCTGATATTTGACTGCTCTTCTGTTGGTTGGTTTCTGGCATGGACTCAGCTTTTAAGCATATCCCACAAATTTTCACTGAGGTTGAGGTCATGACTTTGGAAGGCTATTCCAGAAAATTAATGTTAGCCTGTTTTCATGTGTATTTGCGTTCATTTTTTTGTTGAAGCATCCAGTTGGGTCCAAGTTCCAAACATCTAGCTCTTAATTTGAGGTGAAGTTAAAGAATCTGGAGGTAGCCCTCTTTCGTTATGATTCCATCCACTTTGTGCAGTGTACCAGTACCAGTGGCAGCTAAACAACCCCAGAACATGATGCTACCATCACTATGGTTGGCCATACCGTGTCATACCGTGGGGTATGTTCACGGGGTATGAAGGATCTCCAGGCATTTGGTTTGTTCATGGCTGGAAATTTCAGTCAAGCTTGACATCTCAGTTAATGGTGACAGTGGACAGTGACCCTGCAGGGTCACCATGGTGTTCCAGCAGTTCCAGTTAATGGCCTGCTTGAGCCTTGGAGGTTCCCTTGAACGTACTAACCAATTTCAGTGACAGTTTGGGTCTTCTTCCAGACACTGGGAAAGTGGTGACACATCTGAATGACTTGTACTTATGTACTTTGAACTCATGATCTTGGAGCCTGCAGTTGTTTAGAAATCACTCCAAGAGACCTTCTCAACTTGTGTAGATCTACAATCCTCTTCCTTAGATCTTCATCGAAGAGTTCCTTGGACTTTCCCATTGGACTTCCCCATTGGTCAATCCACCAACTGCTGTCAAATAAATACTTTATGTGTTGGCAAAGAAACTACCATTTATAGTCAATTGTGACAATCAATGAGAAGTTAATAGGTCTTATCAAGTTAAAAAAACACTGTAGAACTTTCAGCACAACTTAAATGATTTAAGCGAGTGTGTGCACAAAATTGACTCTCTGTGGATTATAGAGAATCCAAAATAATTCCAACTTGTTTCTTTAAAATCATTAAAGATGTATGCTGTAAAATCACTACACTGTGGAAAAAGAACAGTTCAAAGAAATCATTAACACACAAAAGGACTGTGATGTTTATGCTTGTGATAAGTGAAAGTAAACTTCTGGGCACATTTGCAATGCCTCAGTTTAGGGTCTTGGTTATCTACACTACCTTTCTGAAAGAGGGTAGAAATGGACACCAAATAAAATTACAGTCATACCAGCATGAATAAATAAGGATGATTATGAGTCATGCAATGGGAGCCCAAGAATAAAACATATGAAGTTGAAAATGATCATAACGGGTATAATTTAATGTTACTGTGAGGTACTGAGGACTGTGGAAAAGGGAGAAAAAAGAGAAAAAGCAAACCAGGACAATTTGAACCTGTGTTTGTTATATGATTTGAAAAAACTAAAATCTTGTTCATAACTATTTTATTAGTTATGAATGTGCATATTTTGGGCCCGAGGGGGGTTGCACATCAATCACCTGGATCAATGGGGCAAGTTGGGGGAGGGAACGGGTGAAACGTTGCATTCTGGGTGGAAATAAGATGCGGGGTGCTGTCCGCAAGTAAAACCACGCCATTGGCAGGGTGGAGGCTTCGCTCGAGCCAATCACGTGGTGAATGTGAAGTGGAGGGCGGAACGCACGGGGGCACACTTCCTTGCATAAATAAAGGAAAAACCTGCGCGGTCCCTTCATCGCACTCCGTTGCACGTTAAGACTTTCTTGAAAGACGGTAAGAGTAAAATGCACGTTTGGTTCTAACCTTTGCTGCGAATTGTCACAGTGAGCAGGTCAGCGCGAGGGGTGAGGTTTCTGTACCCCGCGTGCTCATCCACGCTCTCAGGCTCTTACCTTACTTGCTGCACATTATTTGCAAACCTGGTAATCGGAGCACTTACACCGTTGTTGGGTTAAATTAGCGATACTGCGTGTTGCAATGGTTAAACTGGGCTATTCGAGCAACATTTACCAAATAATGATTCCAGCGACGCATGGCTTCTATTTCTTGTGATCCTAACATAAAGGGCCCTTTATGTTAATGTCTTAAATTACACGAGGGACCTCAATAAAAGGGACGCCTATCTCCATCAGCTGTTTTGGATAGTGTCCTGGTTTCATTTAGCTCTCACTTGCAAATCATGTAAATCATCTATTCAAAATGAAAGTAAATAAAAGGCACCCCTGCAGCCAGTGACCGCTTCCTTAGGCACATTGTGTGATAGCAGTGATGTCATGAGAAGGTAAGAGCTGAGCGGACACGGTAAAGATTGCTTTGTCTCCTGCAGTCAGAAAGCCAACATGGGTGACAAGAAGGCTGTGATCAAGAACGCAGACATGTCTGATGAAATGCAGCAGGATGCAGTGGACTGTGCCATGCAGGCCATGGAGAAGTATAACATTGAGAAGGATATCGCCGCCTATGTCAAAAAGGTATGTTGCTGTTGCTTCAAAGTAAAATGAGTAGCGCAAACTTGTTGCATGCATTTTTGCCAAGAAGATGCTAACTTGTGTCTTCCCCTGCAGGAGTTTGACAAGAAGTACAACCCCACATGGCACTGCATTGTTGGGAGGAACTTTGGCAGCTATGTGACACATGAGACGAAGCATTTCATCTACTTCTACCTGGGTCAAGTGGCTATTCTGCTGTTCAAGTCTGGCTGAGACGTGGGCTCCTAAACTATTTCAGCATTTCTTCTCCCATTTGCTACATGACTACCTCCTAATTTCTTGCCGTCTTCAGCCTGTTATTATTTTTGTCTCCTGCAACACTACCAACAGTGGCTGGTGCTTTGAGCTTGTGTAATGCCTGGACTGGTGATGTGTCATTCATAGAAAATGCCAATATAAAATGACTTATGGTGACAGCACTCAGTCAGCCTCTGCACTTCTAACAGACTCATTGTGGCTCATGACTTCCCAGTAATTTGCTGTGTTGTGGTGGCACAGACTTTGTATGTTAGTTCACATGACTGTATAATTTATTTTCATTGAATTAAAATGAGCAACAGCCTTTTTTGTTATCCTTTTGATTTTCACTGACAAACCATGCTGAGACTGTTGCTTACATGAAATAAAGGATGCAAAATACTGAGATTTTAAGGGTTTTGTACATGCCTAAACATTCCTGTTGACACTTGTAGTGTTGTTGTAGATCTTTGGGAATGTAATTCAGTGAGTAGTCATTGTGATATTTTCATCATATTGACCAGAAAAAACTTTGACGACAGTAAATTGGTTCAAAATGCTTTGTGTGCTTTAAATTCATTTCACTTCCATGAGCTATTAATGGCTTGGCACCCTGTTGGGCTGTCGAGCACTTTATCTCCCGTGTATTCTGAAGCATTGTGATGCATCTAAACTTAGGTGCTCTGACATAACTGCAAATAGGCAGATATAGAGTACCTCTTGTTTGGAAATGCAGAAATTTTTTTTTGTGCATTTACAATGCAGTGTGTAAGGCAAAAACCGAATTTGTACAGTTTCAAATGATCTTAAAAGCTAGTATTTGGTATGAACACCTTTATTCAACACTTAAGTTCTTGTGTAATGTGGTGTACTGCAGCCTTTTCTCACCGTTTGCTTTCCTGTGAAAAAAAATTAGAGTAAAGTTAAGCACAGTTTTAGAAAAAATAAATGGCAAATCAAACTACGTGGAAGCTAATGTCTGCCAGTGAAATAAAGTTGACTACGCATGCAGGCAAAAGTTTACTTTAACTAATTCAAAATTTTGAGTTGCCTAATGTGAAATTTTCTGCTTTTGGATAGCAGAAAAAATAAAAAATTAATTATTTTATTGTATTTTTTCAGTGGAAGAAACAAGCCTCCATACATACGTAAAGATATTACACATAAAAAACACACAGAAACATTGGAAAACAGTTTTTGGCAGACAATCACTTTTTGGCACAACAGCGGTAAACGCTGTAAAATGGATAGTTTTGTTTTTCTGGTTTTCACCGCAGGGGGGCGGTAATGAACTGAACTCTTGGATATGATGCTTTAAAGAAAGCCCAATAACCACCGAGGAGATAGTAGAAGTAATGGCGGCTCAGAGCGGGTTGTCACACCCGGCTCTTGTCCGCGGTGGTGTGTCTGTTTTCCCCCCGGTGCCTCTGTCCGCTGAGGCCGCTCCGTTCACTCCCATGGAGCCGTCCGGTTGGGGGCCCGGCTCACAGTCGGAGGCCGAGAAACTGTTTTCCAACTGCGCCATAAAACTGAGAGCCCTGCGAGCAGACTCGGTCCAACTCAAAGAGGAGCTCAACCTGCTCTTTGACCAACTCTTGTCCGAAAACTACAACAGGACCTTCGAGCCCGCTGTCAACATCCGTCCAGAGGTACGGACACTCGCTTTGGACCTGTAGTCTGTTTTCAGCGACACAAACTCTATAAAAGTCTGCCGCCTCTGTATTTAGAAGCAGAGCTGGGATGAATAAACACTGAAATAGCCATAAACCCACGCACTTCAGAGCCCCGAGGATAACCATATAACCAATAAGAGACTAGCTCTAAACTAAACCAACAACTGTGACATCAGCATTTTGTTTCTTTTCTGTATTGGTGTATTATTTCCATTTCAGGACGTGTGTTCTCTGCTGAAACATGCCAGCTGTCTTGTGCCCCTGACTCAGGAGCATCTAGTCATCAAACTCTGCCAGGTTGTCCATCATCTGCTCAACCAGCTGAAGGTAACAGGTCATGCTTGTGCCACATGTACACTTATGTATTGTTAGGACTGCTTTTGTCGCATTTACACTATATGGACAAAAGTACTGAGTTGTCACTGAACTGAGGTGTTTCGTTCAGTCTCGTTGCCACAGATGAACAAAATCGGTGAAGTCGAGTGTGGTACTATAACAGGATGACCGATGCCAACTAAGTGGTATTATTGCGAAGTGGAAGCAATAAATCAATAACCACAGACA